CAGTGTTGTAGTTTCACCTTCACTCCAAAGAAAACGTTAACTATCTTTCACTTCTGGCAGTGTGAGCAGGGTCTTAAACTTTCACTCCAAAGAAAACGTTCTGGCAGTGTGAGCAGGGTCTTAAACACATATATTACATATTTAAAGCAGCTGTATGAAACTGAAATAGGAAAATAAAATATTTAAAACAAAACATTACCACCCTCTGAATATACAACACATCACTGAGAGTGTTTCTCCCAACCCCCCAAAGTTCAAGCAAAGGTCAGACTCTAATTCTTAGCTAAACAGTAATTTTTCATCAATTTCACTGCAATTAGGCTGTGGCTCAACTTGGGCCCTGGTTTTGGACAGGACAGAGGTGTCACACAGTCCAGATACAGGCAAGTTTTACTGCAAGCAGCTGCAGAAAGGATAAGTATTTAGACAGGACAGACATATACCCTAAGCAAATGTTGAGTATATTGCCGATATATAGGGATAAGGAAATGAACCTCAGTTTAACTGAAGCCTGTGTTTTCATTCAGTGGAGAAAACAACTTACATGTTTTTCTAACAGAAATTAACTCTGAACCAGTAACAAAACTTTGGTGGCTGAAATGTTTGATATTTAATGATACGTGTCCTCGCTGTGCAGCGTGAGAGGACCAATTTGACAGATGCTTTATTATGACTGGAAGTGTTTAACTAAATATTGAGCCTGCCCTCTGGCTGCTTAGATTAGGATCTGTTTAACATTCTTCCCATCCCCTTTAAAAAGCAACAAAGGCCATATCTATTAGGCCATCAGCATTTACAGTTCAGAACCACTTTTAACCATGATTCTTTCCGACTTTCCCGTTGTCCAGCACTGGGAACACTAATTTTCTCTTTACCCTTTGAAGATGGATTGTGGAGGAAGCTCACCCACTTAGCCTGTTCTCCTCACCTGTCCAAGACTAAATTCCGCCTGACATGTTTGACATTGTGAACGAAAGGAATAACGCAGGTTGTCAGGTAAAGGAAAGAGCCAAAAGGCAAGGCCCAGGCAATGAGCAACAAAAAAAATCCAGCACCAGGCATGACTTCAATAAAATACTGCCAGTCCTACTTTTAAAAACATTAGTCCAGGGCAAATTAAAAAGTAAAGTGCAATTAAAAGAAATCACTGTGTAAATGTTAGCATGTGGAAGTTTTTCTTTTCCTCTCCCCTCAGTCCCCCTCCTTCCCCGTGAGCTGAACAAAGAATGCCCCAGAGGCAGAGCTGCGCAGCTGCTGAATATTACTACATCCATGTGTTTTGAATAAGATCCCATTATAATCAAAATCATAAAAAAGTTAATGTGGTTCCCTTAAACATTTAAATGTAAGTTAACCAACATGAAACTTCAGCCTCTGCGAGCACTTTTCGGTTCTCGTATTGAACAAATCCTTGAAGGAAATGCATTTAGGGACCGTCAAAAATGCTGGTATTTACTATAAATACAACTATTCAAAAAAGTAGTGAATGAAATCATATCTATAATATTGTTTGTCTTTCTACTTTCTCTACGTTTGTTCAGCCCTCCCTCATGTGTCATTACATTTGACCAATGTTTAAACCTTTGTAAAAAAAAAAAGCAAATACTATGCTCATTCTTCAAAATTATTTTTAAAAAAATGTTTCATTGAACTATGAATTATTTATCAAAACATTATTGTTAACGTTGTTACTTTTTTCATATGAAACCAAACAATTCTGTTACAGGAGGCAACAGATGATTTTGTGACAGTGCAGACCCCGAACGAATAACAACAAATGACGATTAAATCAATTATCAATACTGTTAGCTACAAAAAAAAAACTTTAAATGTAATTTGAATTGTAATACTGTAATTTCATATAGTAGTAATAATAACAATACTGCAGTCAATGTCAGGTATTTTATAACAGTGTACACCCAACTGTGTCCTTTTTTTGGAAGTTGGATAAAGAAATGGCTTCCAGTCTTTTCTTCTAACCTTATGAGTACATTTTTAATGCACTACCACCTGCAGACTTTAGTTGTTCAATTTACTGTGGGAAAGTCTAGCAACCTGTCTGGAAATGATATTTGGTATATTTCCCCCTACGTAGAACTAATATTTAAAACTGTGTTTGTCTCACAATTATGCGAAAGAAATAGACCTTTTGTAATATTATTTACATGTCCATTTACTGCACTTGAACGGGGTTAACCACTTGCTAATACATGATAATATTTCATAGTTCCTAATGTAACTGAATAATAGTAGATTTATTCTTTTGATTATAACATGAAACTATTTGACATCGTAAGAAGCTGGAGAAATGTTAAAAACATGATGATTAGGGAGTCCACTGTATTCACTGCACAGTGAATAGTTCATGTGGTCTAACCCTGTAAAGGATACCTGGGTGTAATGCTGACTGCTATTACTGCAAGTGCAACTTCTCCCCACGTTTCCTTATTCAATGTGACAGATTTCTGCTTTCTATTACCGAGGTAAGGTGGTGACCCCTCGACATTTTAGAAACGCCTGGAAGGCGGTCAGACAAACGCCAAATAAATAGATAAGGAAAATATATAAAACATAATATAACTCAATTAAAAAAGAAAACAGATACCTTGGCCAACCCTCGTAGCCAGAAGACTTCACACAAAGTGGATGCGAAGCGAATTTGTTTTTAAAGAAACCAGAGGAACTAAATTGCACATGCAATCTGTGGGGCCTACTGGTCTGCAATGCTCAGTCCTTCGGTTAGAAAGTCACGGAGGGTGTCACCTCGCACCAGGACAGATGATTTTCCATGGGAAGAATGAAAATATCTGGCCAAATCCACTTTTCCCCCTTATTAACATTGATATTTCCGAGCTGTCAGAGGGTGAAGTCTGGGTTTTTGGAGACTCCTCGCTGACAGTGGGCTTCCCTTCCCTATAGGTTCAATATCTGTTGTGGCTGTCTCTCCCACTGTGAAGTATAGCGGGTTCCCTGTGGGTTTCAGGCCAGCACTGTTCTGGCAAGCCATTCACTTTTCACTTAGCGGTACACACTAATTTACTGAGACCCGACACTGTTTTGGGTCGGCGGTGTAATTCCCACGTTCCAGCTGAGAAAATATATCATTAGTGCCTCATCGTGTAATGCTTGCCACGTTATGTTATAAAAGCTGGGTCTGAAACGACATGGATAAAACAGGAGTGATTTCCAGTGAGCCTCATTTTGAGTGTCTGCTCGGAATAAGTGGCGGGCATTAAGAGTTTGAAAAGGGGACAAGACGCAGTGTTTAAAAAAGGCCTTTTCTGCTTACTACATCCTCCTGGGTGGCTGGAGGAGTAAGCATTTCTATTGCCAATGTCTGCAGTCACATATTACAGCCATATAAGTGCAGCACTTTACGAGTCTGCCTTAGAAAATTATATGGATTAATTAACTTTCCAGGCAGATTACCATTCCATGCTAATTGAAGTCTAGGTATGTTTAATAAGACCTGGCTTGAAGATGGGTAAGTCACAAATAAGTTCCTTCCCTCTACAGATGTTTGATAACTTTGCTGCAGACTTGGACTTCAAACAGCCTTGTTTACCGCTCAAGCAACTCCACTGCTGCACCCACACGGACAGAACTGTCACTGACTGTAACCTTGGTGATTACACGCAGAGAGCGTGAGTGAGGATCCTTTTTTGGCACAAGACCACAGGTTTTATTTTCTTCTCTTTTTTTCCACATAACAAACATTTTTACAGACGTGATGGGCTGCGACCGAGGCAGACCACAAGAGACAGCTTTGTCACCTCATAACAACCACCCCCACAGAGCCACACGCGTCAGCTAAATGCGTCGCCTAGCAGGACGGATTATAAAAAAGAATCAAAGAAATCACAGAGTCTTCCTGGCTGTCATGTGACTTAATCAACAAATGCAGGACTTAAATTAGAAGGCAATGGAAGCCATGGGCGACATTTTTTTTGTAGACTTGACCACACGCTGACCGCAGCACTCGTAGCCCTTTAGCTCATCACTCCTCAATGCCATACTGTACACCCAGTCACCCCACTTCAGGCCCTTGTGTGTTTACTCTCTGTTTACCGGTCTGCACAGCGCTCGTGCTTATCAGGATCACTAGGAAACCAACCTCTACATCTCCATCCCAGCTATTTTCTTCAACACAAGCCATTCATGTGGCAGCAATTTGGGACGGCCGACACCCAGTGGTGAACATGCCCGACCCCCTCTCTGCCCCCTTCAGCCTTCCCCTGACACCCAGTGGAAAACCACATCTATGGCTCCCGCCCTGCAGGCCCTGACTGCTGGGCTCGGCCCATCAAAGCTGTTCCTTCTGGTACATGTCTCTGCGTAGGTTTGCATCTATGAAGTGGAGATTTTAAAGGTGGAGGTTTCAAATCATGTTCTGCAAAGATTTTAGAAGCATCATAGCTACTGTATAGGGATCAAGTGTGACATGACGGTTTTCGCACAACGCTGCTTAGCAGTCATATAAGTGACAATGGATGTTTGTGAAGGTTCTCAAAATATATAGATGTTTTCTAAATTTCTAAATAGTCTAAAGAAAAAATTGTTTCATAACCAAATATATTTCTGTTGAACTGCTGCTCAGAGGTTGTAGCCTATGACTCTATGCAGAATACAATGAAACAATAAAACACACACCTGCTGTCATAGGCCAGTTCGCCTTTCATATGTTGAAGTGAAAACCTTTATTGGACGAATTAAAATGGTCTTGCATTGAAATAATAAAAGTACATTTTCTTACCTCAGGGTTAGGCACAGCAGAGACCTCAGTGTAAACGAAGCAGAGCATCCACTGTTTGTGGCATCAGGTATGACTATGTGTTATAACTTTCCCTCACAAAGTAATGATTTCCACATTATTTTAAGGAATTCCCAAAAGTCTTATTTTGTATCAAGTTTGATTGAAATGTTGTTTTAGTTTTTCTAGAATTATTGCTTTTGTTATTCCTGTCACTGAATGAAACTACAGAAACACTTCCACACATGCATCTTTTGAAAATTCCACATTTATTCCCATGATGCACTTGGTAAAGTGAAAACCACAAGTTAACACAATCTTTTATACTTGCAGTGACACAGAGCATTATTGGGCTGTTGTGTGGAAGATCGCATTGTTACAGCTGCTGTTGCAGGGTCAGAAAGTGATCCTGCTGTTGCCAGGGTTAACACAGCAGTCACAGCACTGTTTGCACTTGCCAGGGGCAGAGCAGCACATGATGCAGCACTTTGTGCATCCACGTTTCTCTCTCACTCTGGAAGGCACCTGTAGAATAAAAGGGACGATTCATAAGAACATTTTTTCACATGCACTCATACACTGATTTTCTCCTTGATCCAGACATACCACTTCAGCTGCTTCTTTAAATGCATCCCAGCTTTCATCCATCACCAGCTCCTCCTGCTGGTTAGCCTGTTTGTCAACACTCTGCATCAGTTCAATGTTGTCATACGTAAAACAAAATTTAAAATAGCAAATGAAATAATCAATGTCAGACTCTTACCACATCCCGTTTTGCCAGTATGAAGACCTACATGAAAAGAGATGTTGTCAGAATTGTATTTATTTTTTGTCACATTTAATTGTATCACGATTGATGTATTGATTACTTGATTACTACAATCAACGTACCCTTTCACCTTCATTTGGGTGATACACTAGCTCTCTTGTTTCACCTAGATCTTGACCCAGGATCACTGTCTCTGTCTTCTGTTGAAGACCATCTGCCTTAGAACAATGGACAATCTCTCCAATTGCAGGTGAAATAATAAAGTACATTTTCTTACCCCAGGGGCAGGGACAGCAGAGACCTCAGTATAAATGAAGCAGAGCATCATGGCCACAGCTACTGTCACCCTGCACGTCTTCATCCTTACAGATGAATAGTTTTTCTTTGGTAGTTTTTGTGAAGCTGGGTTTGGTTGGTTCAATGAGGAAAACTGTCCTGGTATTTATACTCTCCTGATCACTGGCAGCATTCACCTCTGTCCACAGAAAGTTAGAATTAAACAAACTCCAGATTAGATTATGTCAACAGGACTTTTCACTTATTGATTGCAAGCCTTAAAAAAACAAAAACAATTCATGTTTCTACATTCTAGTAAAAATAAATAAATAAATAATGTTTGTTTCATGTCCTTTTATATTTATTATTGTTGGACACTGGGTCATTTTTCATTTGTTTATTTAAATAAACTGGATGATTTATTCTGATGTGTTATCATTATTATTTTCATTGTTGTCATGATTTTATAATCTGAGGAAGTATGAGTCTATCATGACAAGTGACTGCCACCAGCCAAGTCTACTCTGTATACTAGGTTTAGTCGGTTTAGTCTTATGAACAGTTTTATTGTCTTGAAATATATGATTTATATTATATTTGACAATAAAGTTGACTTTGACTTTGATAGTTGTTTCTACATCAGTCACATAACTTTAAGGCTGCTTACGATATTGTCTGACATCAACCCAATCTGTGGTGTGCAATATCCACAAATTGGAGCATCATGCGTTGATCATCATCGACCTGGAGATCCGCTGATCACACATATGTTTGTAACTCTTGTTGACAGGATTTTGAAAATCCATTCTTTCATCTACGTTGTCGGTTCTGCCAAAGTACAGCATATGCACTCTCTCAGAAATAATCAGGTTTGTATCTTTTGCTGCAAAAAAACAAAACAAACCCTGAGTTGTGAAAGCTATTGCATAATGTAAAAGTCAACACAAGGCAGGGATTTTCATTATTGCATAATGTTCCCAGGGGAAAACTGATATTTTGAAAATCCAAATAAACCTTGAATATGTTTATCTGCGGTCAATGTTAACCTTTAACAAACACATAACTGCTGGCTGTCCAAGGTCTAATTTATATTTTTGTATATATTTGCAGAGAGCATTAGTTGTATACTACACAGTCAGAAAGACCAAGCTACTTAGTGTGCAGGTCTACATATTGTACTGAAAATAAGAGGTTACATACTTCACTGGACACCAACAAACAATACCTCCCGAGGGATTTCATTTTCCAGGGGTGGTCTTTTGACCACACGTTAACCAGGCCAAGCTTCGCTCTGCTGTGCTTCAACAGTCGTCCAGAGCTGCACAGAGTGGTATGGCATGCGGCCATGGTGGTATGCATGCTATTGTGTTAATTTCAGCATGGCTGGATTGCAACCTCACATGTATAATAACCACAGAGGTCAAGTAAACACGGTGGGTGTTAATTCGGTGAAGAAATGATTAGCGAACACACAGCAGGCTCAGATGGACCCTTTGATACCGGTGTGAATAGAGGCCCAACACACACTTATGCACCAGTTATGCAAGTGACAAGCAGAACAATGTGGAGTAATCCTCTGTGATGAGGATTTAATTATCCACAATCACGCAGACAGTGCATATTGAAGCCAAAATGTACACACTGGATCACACGCACAGACTGCCAGTCTGGAGCCGGACAGACTCCTGCTCTGATCTCCCTCTCATGTTAGGATTGCAGGGGGGCTGAGCCTGGTGCCAGGCCCACCTAGCACCCAGACAGATGCCCGGTGTATGCCCCCTCATTCAAACCACACAGAGATAGTAGATGAGACCAGTATCCACAGTTTAGAATCTTCTCCCTCTCTCTGTCTCTCTCTCGTTCTCTTTTTCTCTGTCATGACCACACAAACAAACTGTGGTTTATTCCTTTTCTTGACTCATACCACACACACACAAACACACACAGACACACACAAATGCAAGTAGTCAGAAATGAGAGGTCTGTTCATTTCTCATCCTTTAGGTACGATCTAAACTGCACTGGTGGTAAATGGAAAACTCAACACAATGTTGCTACTGTTGATGGTTCATTTATTATCATTTGACTTGTTTAGATTTGGACAGGTGCTTCTTAGAAGTAAACATGTATACACAGCTGTGTATATGTGGCTTTAAACCGGCAATTCTGGGCAACAGTTCAATTCCAAGATCCTCATTAGTGTGAAAGCCAATATGTTTTCTTCTTAATCATTTTAATCTTCTGTGATTGTTCTGTTTTCATGCAATTTCATTATGAAATTATATACCTGTCTTTTATTTTCCATGTCTTTTTTTCTCTATTTAACACAAAAGTTTCACTGCACTGTGGTAATTGTGGTGACTTGAAGTGTGTAGGTGTTATCTCAACCCAAACCACAGTGAGGACAATACATTCTTATGAAGAGTTTTATTTAGTTTTTTCTCACTAACAGAAGACAGTTTTGATCATGTTTTCAGCAAATGGAAATAATATTTTAATTAAAAAACATAAAATTAAAATGCATAGTTAATGCAGCCATTGCACCACAGACCGTGAGCGGAGCTTTTCCACCAACAATAGGACTTTCCATTGAAAACACTGTCTACAGCTTCTTGTACTGTTCTTGTTATACACATTCAATACAGTTTTATTATTTATTTATTTTAATTTAGACCACATAAGGTACAGATTGTAGAAGGACAGTGCTTAGGTGGTCTACTTCTGTTTACCTAATCTAGGCTACAAGCTCACCACATCATTACATCATGTCGAGCAAAAAAAAGAGACTCGTATTGGCCCCATGGTGGCACATTTTAGGTAACAAGGTGACAAAAGCATTTCATATCAAGGCCTCTACTTGTTTATTTGGCTTTAATAGGCCACTGTTGGCTGAGATTCATTTTATCTGGACCAGATAAAGCTGGCAGTGACTTAAGCGTCAGGGGTGGCCCATGTCCACATGCTATCTGGACAGTAGCAGTAGGGTTTATTTAACAGTGTACACTAGCCAGATGCTGCGGTGGGTCTGAAGGTTTCATACAGTACATCACTGTCTGTAATATCTGCATTAACCAACAGATTAGTCATCACTTTCTACAGTTAATCACTTAAACCAGCAACAGCAGGCAAGAGTGTGAACCAGAGGCCTCCGCACCACAGGTCACACTTCACGGCAAAGGCTGGGAGCTATTCACAGACACAAACAAACACACAAGCACACACAAGCACACAAGCCAGACTGGGAACCACTGTCATGAGGTCAAGACCTCCACTGCAGCTGAGTTGATTAAACATGTTTCTTAAACCCACATAATGCCCAATAAAATCCTCCATGCTCAAGGATGATGATGTAGTAGCTCCAGTCTGTCCAAGGGCCCAGCCTCAGTCGAGGTAGCATGACAGGCTGCTGCACTGGTCACCTTCCATTAGCTCATTTTTACTTGGGGGAGCAATCATCCCAGCTTCTTGTTAGTGTGGATAATGCCTGTTTGTACACGTGCATGTGTATGAATTAATATTCCCTCTACTTGGGGGCAAAGGTTGCTCCTGAAGCATGGCACTGCATAATCCATTCCTCAGTGAAGGGCCAGTGGGGGGAGATAAACATTCCAGGACAATGAGAGCCGACCCTTCTTTACCCCCTGCTGTGTTCATACCTTGCCATTTACATTCTGCTTACCCACAATGCAACACTTGGCTCCAGTGAATAACCTCCCACCCCTTGTACCGGACGCAGTATTGTGCCACTTTAAAAAAACATATTCCCTCTACTAAATAACCCACAAGTGTCAGCTCTGGCTCAGATACAACCCTTCTGGGTCCTCGCTGAGCGAATTATATGCAATTCAACTGGTCCTAATATACTTTAATAGGACCTGCTTCGGATTAATTCTCCCTTGAAACCGGTAGTAACACGGCTACTAGGCACATATAAAAATCGATTGAATGGAACAGGCCTGGCAGAGAGTCCAGAAGAGGAGAAAAGGGGGGGGGGGGGGTGGGGGGGCAGCAGCTGGCTCTCCAGCCTAATATAACGTTGGTGCCCATAGAGTTCTCAGAGCAGCAGTAAGTGGAAATATTTGCTCAGAACATAATGTGCTTTAAGTGCATAGAATTAACTGTCGGGGTCATAAAGTACCTGTGTGTCACGTCCTGAGCGAGTGGACAGAGCTGCGTCCCTCTCAGGAGAGCAGGGACAATGGCTTTGTGTTGTGTTTGGAAGTCAGAAGGAACCTGGGAAAAGGTCCTACAGCACCCAAAGGAACACCACACTGGTTTTGGTATAGAAATTGTTTTCTGTCCCACGTAAGGGAAGGTAATAAAAAATGCTCCTCACTGCACCTGCTGTCACTGACTCACCACCAAAGTTATGGTGAGTCATAAATATTTTCAATTTTGTCACCCTGCAGTGGAGCACAGCGTGATGATGTAAATGCAGAAGGTGAATATGAGCTCCTTGAACGGTTTTCCCTTCCTGTAGAGCAGGTGAGGCGGAGGTGCAATGAGGCTGCCGATCACAATTTACCTCATAACTTTGGCAGAGCAAATCACAGCACAGCTCAAATGGTTCTGCAGCAAAGCAAATAAGCGTCACGAACAATTAGCTTTTATTAAAGGACGTATTTATCTTGGAGATTAAGTTAGTACTAGGCAACTCTAAATGACACCAAAATCAGCACGGAGAGTTGACTTTGGATTGCGTTATTGCAATTAGTGAGCAAGTACAGTCATAAAAGCCAACCATTAATGCCACCATTTAGCAGGTCTGTACGCACCATGATGGCTACCATATGCTGAGGTTGTTGGCTCAAAGAGCTGATGATCACAAAGGCCAATGACTGATGAATCAGGACAATGACTGCCTAACAGTGACACTAGTGTGTGCTCTGTGAACCTACACAAAACTCTTGGAACTCTTTGTTGAGACAATGAAAATGTTTGGATACTCAAATTGTTTGAAAGGGTACTTCAGCCACAAACTGTGACATCTGTCTTGTTTAAATGACACAAAGATTGAATAAAATCTATGCAGACTGAGGTTTGCTATTAAAAATATTGGATGTGTATCCAACGTAAGACCACATATAAACTGAAACATTGTTTTCACAATCATAAAAATATCAGATATAGAGGTCATGTCTGTATTTAGGCCCTGCCAAGAGGACAACACAGGATCAAGAATCAAAAATCTGACAAGATCAAGATGACAAATAAAAACATCAACAACATGGAAAAAATAAAATCCCACAGGGAATACCTGCTAAGAGCTGTTTTCCATATAGTATCTCTGGACAGTAGTGGATTGCTCGGGGGTATTTATGCATCTGAAATCAGGCAGGTAACAGGTGCAAGTGGATGAGCTGACGTTAGCTCACCAGGTAGAAGCAATGGGGCTGATTATAGGGGAGGAGCTGGCTGGAGGGTTGGACAGAGACCTGACAAAAATGCTCCAACTTTAGACTCATTACAGACGAACACTTTTCTCTGTCTCTGTCTTTGTGGAGGGGAGCAGCACAGTGTGTACAGAGTGGTATAAAACCTAAGAACGCTCCCAGGTTCTAGTGTGGAAGCACAGATTGTTATCACTCGTGTGGAGAGTTTTCAGCCCACTGGGTCGTTTCCTGTTTGTGGTTTCACTTGTTGTGTCTTTGAAGAAGGCTTTAATAGTAGGACCCAACAGAATTAATGAAAACGCTCTCTGTCAAATTAAAAAGGAGCTTCAGTCTCAGCCACATAACCACATTCAGTAGCACACACACACACTAACACGAGTGGTTTACACAGGGGGCACCATTTCCTTTGATGTGAAGCTAACTGCTAAACCTCTCACCAATACAAGAATACCATCAGAGTCCAGTTTCCCTCCACAGTGGGGAAATGATTGGATTTGTGAAAGAGGGTAAAGGTGAAACATTCTTATTCCTGATTCCATTTCCTTTCCAACCTGATTCCTGCAGTAGGTTTGTTTGTTTGTTTGTTTTTGTCCTTTATTGATGCTTTACCATAGACATTGCAGTGTGAGCTTTAGTGGTGGTGTGGGCTTAATAATTCCACTTCAGTGCAGTTCCTTTCCATAAGCCTTCAGGTTTAATTCCTCAGTCTGCAGCAGTGATAGTCAGGCCCGAGGGATGACATCTGTGAGTCGTTCATTAACTGGTAACCAGCAGCAGATGTCCCTTAAAAACAACTTGCTACAGCTACTCCTTATTTTGTGAGCTTTGCTTTGTTGTAGCCACTGATGGTCCTGGCTGCTGGTTGACACCAGCTGCAAAATGATCAGGTTTACGTACAGTCTGGATCATTTTCATGACTTTCTTTATATTCAGTGCCATCTTTTAACCAACCTGTAGCTATTTATTCTTTAAGATAATTGAGAACTTTAATCTTATTGCTATCTAATAAAGTAATTAGCAGTCACTTTTGTTCCTTTTGGCTTATTTTTTTATAACTTTATGCAGCATCAGTATACAACATAAAAGTGTGTAAACCACTTTATATGGAATAGAATAGTTCAGAATAGCAACTAGAAAAATAAATAGAAACAAAAATAGAATGTCTCTGACATTTTTATGATGATTGTGCTGTTTCTACACCCTTTCTTACATTTTCAGCTTGTCAGAGAAAAAAAAAGTCTTCTGCTGCGGAAGTGGTAAGCTGTGAAAATCTATATCCTCCAGTGTGAAATATATCGTGCCATTTCAAACACCTGTTAAAGAAGTTCACTTGGAACTGCAGCATGTTTCACCTTCAGATAGAAATAGAGAAAATATACAGTGAGGTAGTTGAACATAAACAGTTGTCCCCATGAAAGCATCGTGTGTGATTTTGAGGTTAAGTGCAGGAAGACTGTGGTCGGTGTCTCTTAGGATGATATATACTCTGAGCAGTTCATCAGTTACTGTGCATCTGTACGCCGTCTGACTGGATTCTTTTTCTTTCTTTTTGTCAGGAGAAGTGATTTTACAGTTTGGAATTTGAGCTAAATTTACCATGACTTGACTTTTGTCCATGTAGGACCTTTACAGGCGTTTCTGTGTTGATTTAGGGTCCAAAGACGTGCATAGACACAGTAAGAAGAGAGAAGGGGGTGATAATAATCGTAAGTGTCACCATGAGTTGCATATTTTCAGAACATTTCTGTCTGGTGGTGAAAATGATCGAGACAGAAACTAAATCTGCTGTTTATAGCATTTAGGAGGCTTCATCAAAGTCTCTGGCTGTTTGTGAAAACTACGTCCTGAAATATTTCATAATGGATTTCCCAAATGCTTTCTTTTTGGGGTTTTTTAATCACATTCACAACTGTGAGACAAGAAAAACATCAGTTTCAGAGTTTAACCACATATATTATAACCATAGACAATAATGAAAGCTTCATCGTACAGTCACATGAAATGTAATTTAATAAAACACAATGTACACATATGCAGTCCTATGACCATACATTTGCTGGATCCTAATTATTAAAACCTAGAATTGATCAAAGCATAGTATTTTCTTTCTCTTTTCATTTTCTTTGAAACACTGGAATCAGTAGATGAGGTCAAATGAAACATAATAACAACATTTTTTGCGACATCGGACAGAAAAACTGTTGCACATGACAAAGATACGCACTGTTATGAAGGAGCTCAAAGAATATTCTCTTCGTATAAGAGAGAACAGAATGAGGCAAAAATGTCGACTGACCAAAAAAGTACAAAATCGAGTTAATAAATAATTCAAATATATACCATATAAATGAAATAATTATGTTTGCGGCTATGATTATTATTTGATTTTATTCCGTAGCTTGGTGTTACAGCCTTTGTTTGATTTCTAAAACATTTAGAACGAGTGAACGAGTCAATACTGAAAATACAGTAATAAGCTTCCAGAATTAGATAAACTATGTACACAAGTCTGATGCCATGCTAGTCAAACAACTAAATTTATTCTTTTATTTTTTTATCCACACTATACATTTAGAGCATAAAGCGGTCTGACGTAAACAGTTTGTGCTGAGAATAAAATACTTTGCAACTATGCATGGTAATTTCTTTTAATATTACTCTCAAAAATGTACATAACATAAAGGCCACACATCATGGGAACACTCTGTCTCCATTCAGAGGAACGGGTAGCTTTACATAAATATAGGAGTTGAAAATAAGTCTCTTTCAGTTTCAGATGCCATTTTCCTGTCCATCAGCATCATTTGCTTCAGCCCAAATCTCTTCTGCCCCTTTACTCTCCATCTCTTTGCCGACCCTCCGTGGTTCGACCCCCTTCCACTCCAGTCCAGTCTGAGGGCAGTTTTATGTGCCCTAAACTCTTGCACTTCCTCTTGTTACCACCATTCTCCATCAGGTTCTGTCTTCCATCAGAATGGGAAGATTAATGACACTGGATACATGATGGGAAATGAGTTCAGCTATTTGGACTTTAAGGGTCCACAAGGCAAAGCAAAGGCTGGGGTTGAGGGGAGGGGAGTCATCTGGCTGTTGACTGCAGGAGTGAGGAAGCAGCAGGAGGCAGAGACATGAAGCAAGTGTTTATTGTGTTGATAGTGACATTGTATATTAGACATATATTGTTGTGGCTGGGTCCATGGTCTGTGTGGGTAACAGAGATTAAGGGGAGGTTAGGAGTCATCGTTGGTCAAAATGTGGGTGTTGCAGCAGGAGCTTAGCAGCTTTGCGTTGGTTCTTTGTTCTTGGGCAGTTTTAGTCCTCATTGGCTGGAGCGTGCAGAGGCCAAGTGGTCACTGTGCTGGTTCTGGGCCCGAAGCCGCAGCCTTTGCTTGTTCTTCTTTTTGGGGTCTTTGGGTCGGTGCTTCACTGGGCCTGGAAGTACAAAAGCAACGGAAAAATATGGTCACAAATATTCAGTATCATCACAACCAGTGTAGAAGTACTGTGTATGCAGCGGTTTCCATAAAGGTCCTAGTTTTTAACAGACCACAACAACAACTAACATAATTGAACACTGACCGTAGAAACAGTCCAACTTTTTTTTTCACACATTGACTCTAATATTCTCATTTCGTTCAACAGAGAAATCTCATCTTACATCTTGCGGGCCAACGGGCCTTTTGGCAAGTCTCTAAATCCAAATTTGCTGCTTGAAAGTCTGCCAGCAGCTTCTGAATGGGTGTAAATAACGCTGGACCAAAAACAAAACACTTCTGCATATACTGTAGATGATCTAAGTGAATAAGCATATGGAATGAGGGAATGGCCAAACAGTAATATATATAATACAGTGTATAACCTCATTGACCCAGTCTGAGACAACTGGCAACAGTGTGGTGCTGCAATGAGCATATTTGCATTGGCTGCAGCAGCGACGGTGCTGTTTTACCCATCACTGCCTTCACACTTTAATAATAATCACTCAGACAGTTGTTCTTTGTACTTACAACCATCTGCTTATTACATACATGTTCCATGAGAAAATATAAAGCACAATTAACAGGTAAAGAGCCTGAAGTTTGGATGATTTCACTGTAGATCAGGAGAGTAGACACCAAAGGAACTCAAAGTAAACTTTGATAAGAGTGGTAAAATGTCCATGTTTGTGAGGAGCATCAGTCAGATTGTATTGAGTATCACTTTTGAAAATGTACTATTGGTTATGTTTGACAAGCAGAGCAGCTGAAAAGGAGAGTTTTAAACAGTTAATATTATATTATATTTTGAGGGAACACCACATATCAGGGTGTGCTCCAACACTCAAGACTGGAACCTCAGCCTCAAACAAAACACTTCTCACTGTCATTGCAATACAGACGGGAGATAAGTATGAGAAGTTCCATAACTTGCTTTCCGACTTGGAAAAGTCTCCCAGCCCGAGGTTAATCCATCACTTCTAAGTCTCAGAGCTACAACCTGCTTGCCAAGGCCACAAATAAGATAACGAGGTGTGAGTTCGAAATATATGGGTGTTCTGAGGAGGAGGGGGGGTTAGTGTAAGGGAATTTAAGGTAAAAATAAAATGTAACAGGAAAAAGCAATTGGGATTCTAATCGAGTGCAAAAAGAAACAAATTATGTTACAGTTCGCTAAGAGGAAGAAAACACGGGAAAATCCTGAAGGAAAAACATGGCCTGCACTGCCATCGCACTTGTTCTAGCTCTCTCTCTCTCTCTCTCTCTCTCTCTCTCTCTCTCTCTCTCATGAAAAACTTGACAGAGTATGCAAAATGTGACATTATCTCTAATTGCCTTCTCATATGCGTTGGCATTACCGTGGTCCTCTAAGCACCCCTACAAAAGACCCTGTTTCCCATCCACTGCGCCGCACTGTGAGGTTAATTTGAAAATATTCACTCATTTAAGCCGACGCGCATGAAAAAGCAAGATATTGCTTGGCTAATAAGGGTCTCTCAATGAATAATCCAGATGCATGCAAACATCAAACCATTGCAGAGCTATTTCCTGCAATTAATTTAATCTTGTTATTTTGAGTCACGTTGCCGATTTGAGCCATGGCAGTAAAGCTTCTCGCTCACACAGTTCCTTGTAAAAGTCTTTGAAAACGACAGCCACACCTCTTCCATCAAACACCAGCCCTCCGACTGAATGATATTACAGAAGGACTCTGTGCACTTGCTTTGCTGATGCCACTTGAGATTTCTTGCATGACTTATGGTATGATAATGTTTGTTAAAGCAAATTTGGAGCTAAAAGGCATTTGGCCCACAGGTCCCGTTTCCTAATTGCGCCTAAAAGAGGTAATTTTAGTCTAAACAGTGTTGCTAGGTGCTTGATAAACAGGGCTTTGGGTGCAATCATCTTGAGTTGAATTACATTTGACAGCAATAAAGTACTGTGTGCCGCCTTAAAGTACATCTGCAACGGGCAAAACCTCTCCGGGCAATTTCTTGGACAAATTTAAAAAGAAAAAAACTCGTACGTTTACAGCAATTGCTGAAAACACAATACATGGTGTTAGGTTACATTTTTTTAGGTTAAAATGTGGTTTCCCAGGCTACTTCAGGTTGGGATCTGAGAAATTTAAATTTAAGCGGTTCTTCACTTTAAAAACAGCATGCACCACACACAGAGGTGCTTAGGTGCAAGAAATACTTGTTTACATGAATAAAAGGCCTTTGCATGAAGGCAGGAAATTGCTGCTGGGTGTTCATGATCTCTGAGGTGTAAGAGAGTATCTCATTAGAACAGTCGCATGCTGCACAGAGCGACACATGCCTTATGAATATTTGAGCAAATTTAGCAGATTTATTTGACATATGTTTATAGTACAAAACCCGGTTTCTTCTATATACTTAACAAAAGTGTGCTGTTTTAAATTTAAAAAAAAAAATTGACTGGCCAGCCTGCAGTCCGGGATCTATCTTATTTCTAAAAAGGCTGGAACATAAAATGAAGTATCATCTAGTGGTAAATTTACCTTTTTTTTTTAATCTGTGAAAGCAAGTAATGATGTCATGTTAAAACTTAATAAAAATAAAATTTGATTGTTTTGGTTCCATCTTTCACCACATTTTAGACCCTAGTCCTAAAGTAAAAGAGTCATGTTGACTGGTGCACAGACTTGAATGCTAAACAAACACAATTTGTTCCAGATATTCATCCATAAGCTGAACTCTGTTTTTTTCCAGTCCTCTCTACTAAATTGCAGCCTTACCAGATCCTGGATATTATAAATACGCTGAATAGCAATCAGTAGTACTGACTCTGCTGGAGGCAAAACTTTGCTCATCAAATGCTTTCACTCACCCTTGAAGTTTTGTGTGGTCTATGTAACTGTTTTTAAAAAATAAAAACTTCAGATATAACAACAGGGTTTCCAGCTTCTACTTAAATTATGTCAAGATTTGTGAAATATTTCTCTATCATATTTCATAACCCAGTTTCAATGATGACAGCTAGGGGGCAACCAATCCCCACATAAGTCCCAATTGTCTGATAGTTCCACTATGATGATCACTACCATATCTACCCAAGAACTCCATTCTGTTCCTCCTCAGGGAACTGTATGGGCACTCCACACTGAGCTTTCATCATTTCATATTTACAGCCATTGTAATCACTTAAGCTGATTACTAGAGTTCACAGAGGAAACAGTTTAATTTGCCTGGAAAGAAATGATTAAAACATCTCAACTGCTCTCCAACCCAAGAACAAATTCACAAATCTTCCAGGATGTAAAGATAACTTTGTCTTGGAAGACACAGAAGGATTTGGGCTCCTTTTCACTCTTTGTTTTGCCTTGTCACTGTCACAGTACGGTTCAAATTAAAAGAGATATAGCTTTTATCAACAACTTAAATCCTTCTTTATCCTTTTTTTCCATTCTGGCTGCATTTCTTATTGCTACGTCAAGCCATGGTTCTGCCAATGTTTAGTTTTTCCCTCAAAGATAACATCTCCCTCTTCCAGCTTGACATTTGAAATTAAAAGTAAATTAAACAAACAAACAAAAATCTCAACAGCCAATCAAAATGTTTTGTTTTTCCTGAATCAGAAGCAGAGTCTGTGGTGGGGCTGTTGTTTACTGCTGTCAAAAATGACCCCAGTAGAATCCTTTCATATATACGTGCTCAAATATGGCCGCGCTTGCATGTGAGGAACACCCACAGCTGTGTGTAAGAGCAAAACTTCAGGCCTCCGTGTCACCTTTAAGCGCTTCAGAAACACTTATTTTTTATGTTTCAGTTGCCAAACCAGGGAGCAAAAAATATTACACTCCTTTGCACGCACTGTGGTGGAACGTTCCTCAATAACGTCTCCAAGCGAAGCATGATCTACAGCGTTTTCCTTTCCCTCCCCATCACTCTACTTCTCCCCTTCCTCTCCGTTTCCCTGTGATGCTATTTAAGGCTATGAACAATAATAGAGCTCACAGCGCGGTGAGGATCCAGCAAAGAGTTAAGCACTATTGTACATATCATATTATTAGGCCTGTACTCCTGAATACTATCTCTTTGCAGAGCAGCAACCTGACTACATGTCCAACTGCCCTGAAAGATAATCAGTCAAATCCATATCCAGGGGAAAAGAAGCCAAAGCTCTCATGGTCTGTGTCAGCACTAATATTTTTGTTTTGGAAGAAAATAGAACAAAATCAAGGAAATAAACATGAACTCTACATATGTTTTTACATATGGAGAAGTATCGTGGAGGATATGTGTAATTGTAGATGTTACCCAGGCTGAAGCGGAAAATATTTTTTTTGTGCCTGTGCTAAAAATGGGTAAATCCTTTTGTTACACTGTGATTACAGAGGCCATGACCTCTTAAAAAAAAACAAAAAAAAAACAAAAACAAAACAGCAGGGCACCGACAGTCAGCACAGGCCAAGTGATTTCATCCACTCACGGCCCCGTCGTCATGGGAAGAACTCAAGGCATAATCTTATCTCCATTGCTTGCGGTTTGAGGAAAATCAATGTGTGACCTCGAGGAGGCATTAAGACATACGGTAAATGGGATCCTACACTGCTGAAAACTGTACCCCACTCTCCTGTTAACCCCTTCCCTCTGCTCAAATGCAGACAGTCAATAATTTTCATCAGCAGGGCCAAACAGAGGGGGCAGACACAAAAGATCCAAACAATTTTGAAGAAGATTTTGAAGAAGTGGACTTAAGGAAGGTAAAGCTGGATTTTTTTTTTTTCATTTTTCATCGGCTCGTCTTTTTCATAAACAAGCCAAACGGAGGCCATTATTTGTGAGAGAAGGAGAGAACTGCCGGCGCCAGTGAGATTTGATTTCAGTGGCAGAAATTGGATTAGCAGCCATTAAGGGCCTCCTCACACATACATTTATAATGCTGTGAAGGAGAAAGGATCTGTAGCCCAGCCAGCGCTCTTGTAACTCA